CCCCCCCCAGGGGCAGGGGAGGAACACGCCGCCTGCCCTTGGCAACTCCTGCAGCCTTTCGGTTTGCAGGGGGAGGCTGAGGCGAAGGCAGAGGAGCTCGGCCGGGACGGTGGCTCGGATGTGGGTCCAGCCGCCCAGCCCGCATCCCGCAGGCAGGCAGGAGGGAAGTGTGGCGAAAGGGAAGGTCCCGCTCTGTGCTCAGGCCGCACCCCTTCCCCGCTGGGGGTGATCACAGCCATTCTGCTTTGGAAGCAGTGGGGGGGGGGTTGAAACCCCTGGGGTGGCACAAAACCGGGGTCAAACGCGCTGCTCACGGGGGCGCCGTGCATGGGAAGCCTGCGCCCTGCGCTTCCCCCAGACCTCGGCCCGCAGCTGCAGGCAGCTCCTGTTAGATGCAGCGGCAGCCCCGCTGTGGAGGGAGGGGCTGCCGCCAGTCCGGCAGCACCCCCTGCCCGGCTATCCTGCCCGGGCCGGGAGGATGCTGAGCGCAGGAGGGAAATGCCAGCAAGGGATACAGCCGGGAGAGCGCGCTCGCCGCTGGCCTCCCCATGGATCCATCTCCGGCACCGGGCGCCGGCTCTGTCGGCCCACTCTGGCCCGCCCAGGCTTGGCACCCAGCTGCCTGCCCCAGGCAAGGACAGTTGGAGCCCCCCTCCCCGAGGCGGGCGGCCGGCTTTGGGAAGCCCGTTTGCTCTGTAACGGCATTATTTCTTCTGGTGCTAGAGGGGAGGGCGGGGGCGACCCTGACTGACCCTCACACTCTCCAAGCCCGAGCCCGAGCGCGCCTGTCTTGGGGAAGGCAGCGAGGCCTGCCGCCAGTGCCTTGCCTCCGGGCTGCTCCAGGCGGGGGCTTCCCCGCTTCCCCTGCACAGAAGCAGCCGCATTCTAGGAGCCCCCCCCCCCCAGTGGTAGTGGGGACTGAGGGGGCTGGCCCCACGGGGAACGCGCCTAGGCAGGGATCGACTGGGAAAAGCCATGAGGCGTGGGCAGTTCCTGTCCAGCCCTGCCTAGGCTCTCCGTGTGTGGCGGATGTGGGGCAAGGCCGCGTGCCCGGCTCCCGATTCCTGAGCCCACGGGGCCGCGAAGGCATCTGTCTCTGGATGCCAGAGAAGCACAGCAGGCGCTCCGTGCCGCGTCCGCCGGAGAGCTCGGGGTGCCCGCCCCACACGTGCCCCGCAGCCCCACGCAGGGCTGCCGCCAGCCCCATGGCCGTGACACACAGGGAGGCCTGGCGAGGTGGACGGCACGCTCTGGTGCTCGCGGACGGCCTCTCTGTCTGTCGTCTGTCTGTCTCTCACGCACACGCACACCTACACACAGCCGGTTCAGGTCAGTTTAAATGTGCCAGTAAGTTAAGGGCAAAGAACAGGAACCCCCATGTCCAAGTTCCAAAATCGCAAAACTTCTTTTTAACCAGTGAATTCCAAGGTGCCAGTGGCAGCTGACCAAACACAGAAGCAAGTCCCGTTTCTGCGCCTCGGCTCTCTGCGTCTTCGTGTGTGTTCTCGCCCCTCCTCCTCACTTCACTTTTTAAATAGCACATTTGAACATGGTGAAATTGGTATGTATTGACCTGACATATCTGTGATCTTTCCAGGCTCGATTGTATGCGCGAACCTTCGCACAACCGCACCCTTCGCGTACCAGAAACCCTGCAGCAGCCTTTCCCAACCTGGTGCCTTCTACATGTGCTGCACTGCAACTCCCATCATCCCCAGCTAGCGTGGCTATGGGTCGTTGGAACTGTAGTCCAATGCATGTCAGGGTGACCTGCAACACGGTCCTCCCCGCGAGGAGAAGCGCCTCCCTTGTCCTTCACGTGCCGTCCCATAAGACCACCTTCTCAGACAGGCAGAGCACGGGGCCAGGTGAGCTTCCCAGGGGCCCCATCCGCCGTGTTCCCCCAGGGGCTCCCTCATCGGCCGCAGAACAGGTGGGGGCACACACCGGCCCCACACACTGCCGCGCCCACGCCGGCCCCACCGGTGTCCAAGTGCTGCTGCCGGCGGCCCCCTGGAAGGCTTTGGGCTCCGTGTTGCCCTCCCGGCCATAATGCGGCACCGGGACCCCGGCCTCTTTTCCTCCTCTGGATTTCCAGCCCGCCTTTCTCCACACTCAGTCTGTAACCCAAGATATGTCGCAACTGAGTAATGAAAAGGGACTAAACCCACTCGCCTCTAAAGCAGCAGAAAATCAGCCGGTGAACGTCACTTCTCCAACCGATGCAGAGGCTTCCTGGGCACGGAGCCCTAGCCCTGGACGGGGCTCCAGGAGGAGGCCTGCTCTGCGGAAAACAGACCGGGGAACAGTGCTGTCCCCACGCCAGCATCAGTCATTGTGCCGGATGCCCTGCCGTAGGGCACTGGCCCGCCCCACAGCCCCCCTTCCAGGACCCCCCTCCAGAAGCAGCGCCACCAGCCTGCGGGGCGGCCCGCAGGCCCTCCGGCCCAGGTCACGGGTACCCGGCCTCGTTCGTCTCCGTTCCTGCGGGACGTGCTTGCCACCGCGAAGCAGCGTGGCCCCTCGCAACCGCCCACAGCCCCCTCCCTCCCCTGCTCCAGGCCAGCCGCCCATCCTGCTCACTTCCATCCCATCTCCTCCCGCGGCGACAGCCCTCCGGCCCCTTCCCTGGCCGGGGAGTGCCCTCGCCACCGAAGAAGCGGCCCCACAAGATGCCACGGGGTCTCCTGCCCCC